GGTCATTATTTACTTAAGAATAACATGGTGAAAAAAAAACTGTGAAAATCTGCATTTCAAGAGGGAAAAATGACAATATTTTCTTTGAATGTTTCAAACTGATCATCCAAAAAAATTGAATTTTATTTTAAAATTTTCAGGAAAAGTGGAGCAGTTTACAAAACAAACAATACAACAAAGAAAAATAAAATACAGAGAAAATAAGGAACATTTACAATCTTTGTTCATCAGGGTACCTTAATTAATAAAATTCTTTGAATAATGCTTTAAACAATAATGTTAAATCATGTAGATTTCTGTGATGTCAGTGTTTTTAGCCTGATTTATATTTACAGTAGGCTAATTATAGTTAAACAGTGTAATTAAAGCCATAGAACATGTATAAAAATTGTGCAAAGTCATAGTTTAACTAACAGACAAAAGCTTTTATGTGCAGACACAATAAGTGCATCAAAGTGAAACCAAAACTAAAAACAAGATGACTGGTGTCATAAAAACTTGGCTKTTGTTCAAAAAATCCCGGACTTTCCCACAGACCCTGAATGCATCAACAAGCTGTTGTAAAAAAAAAAAAAGGATGAAGGTGTTGATCTTGATGGGTCCATTARTTTGATGGGTCTGCTCAGGTGTTTTTAGCCTCCATGAACCTTTGTCACCATCTGGACCACCTTCAGGTCACCATCAGACTTTATCCCATACTTGGTCAGAGGCGCAGAGTCCACGTCCAGAGGTTTGTCCCCGACAATCAGCCGGATGTCACTCAATGATGGACCTGCAGCCAAAACCAAGAGAAAACTAAAACTCAACTTCTCACAACTCTGCTGTGGAGCGGCAAGGTTTACTAAAACATTTTCTGTGAAAATGCAGCTAAAAGCTGAATGATGAAGCTGCAATTTGCTTTACAAAATTTAAAAGTGTATTGTAAGAACACTAGTCAAAAATTGCTAAAACAGCAAAGGTTTAGCAAAAACCTAAATGTGGCAAAAGGTTAAAAGCTACATTTAACAAATCTTGACTAAATCAGCAAAATATAAGCTTTAAAGTAACAGAAAAAAGCTGAAAGAAGCATATTAACTAAAACAACAAAAGGTGAGCTAAAAACTAAAAATATCAAAATGTTAACTAAAACCAGGAAGAGAAATGTATAGGCCTTGTAGGTTCATTTAAGTAGTAAAATGTCAGGTAAAGCTAAAAGTATGATAAACAAAAGTTTATTGGAGCAGATTTAAAAATGAATTGCGATCTTGGTATATTTCTATAATAAGATATTTGTAAATAAAGTAGAATATTTTAAAACTAAAAGTCATCCATTAATATAAACTGAACGCTATAAAAGGGTAAAACCGCACAAAATGCGAATAAGTTAGATWCAGAAAAACAATATAGGCCTAATGCGGAATCAGCATTTTCACTCAAGCTCCTCTGTCTTTCAAACACTKTTAAAGCTCTAACCAGTCATATTTTGCTTCTTTAAGTATCATTAGTCATTTGTGAATTGCAAATTGWATTCTGTTTTTAGATCATTTACCAGATTTGGAAAACTCCTTTGCGTCCATCTTCAGCTCCAGCACCGTCATCTGGTTCAGAGGCTTTCTGGGGTTGTAGTAGAAGATGTCTCCGGTGTTTGACCGGATAACGATCTGATCTGTTCTGCACATGTTGCTGTGTTCAGCTGCTCGATCTGAATATGCAGACCGATTGTCTCATGAAGCTTTTATGTGTGAGGATGAAGGCTGTCATTGGGAGGGGAAATCTGCTGCCAAGTGAAAGCAACTTTTGTAAATCTTTTGTGGCTGATCGGTRCTTACAGTAAGTTATATATGAATAATACCGTCATTAAAACATACAATTTTATAGAGAAAGAAGTTTTTAAGAGCCACAAGTGAGGTGGTTTAAAACAAAAACAAGTGTCTGTTTTTCAAAATAAAAKATTTTAAATAAACCAAAACTCAACTCAAAAGCAGCTCCAACTCTAATAACCATTTAAAGAATAGCATAAACCGATATTTGCTGTATATATTTGCTGTTATTTTGAGCTTAAAGCGTAAATAAAATGCGTCATCAGAAGAAACCGAAAGTAAGTCTCACTTCTGCAACAGGAAGCCCCTGCATTTTATGTAGTTTCACTCTTTTCTTTTTTCACTGCTGATATTATTGAAATTTRAAATGCCATATATCAGTATGCCTATTATTTTATATACTATATTACTATAATATATACTATAATTTTTTGTATTTTTCTTCATATCTCTCCATCAAGGTTGTTTTATTCTCAAACGCTTCTTCTTCTGTCTCTCGCCCTGAATCGAACGCGCAGCGTGACGTCACCGCGCAGCAGCTGAACGCGCTCCATTGTTTCACTTTCTCTGCAGCGACGGACCAGCGCAGATGTTGCAGAGGATTTGTCGCCTTTCAGTGCTCTTTTCAGGTAAAATACGACTTGATTCTATTGTGAAAGGACAGCTGAAAAGTTAAATGTTTACGTTTTCAGCCCCAAACTTTTATGTTCGTCAGTGTTCAGGTTCTGCGCAACTTATTTAGAAAGTTTTATTTGTTCAGGTGTTGTACGAAATTCAGTTCCCCTGTGAAAATCTGTTCCCCCTGTGTTGGAAGCGCCTCCAGATTGGTCTAATGTTATTTATGCCTGGACCAGTGTAGTACGGTGTACAATTTAGGACATCCTCAGTACTTGTCAGTCGTCAGTTGTCAACAAAAAAAGTAAGTAAGTAAAGTAAGTAAAGTTTATTTATATAGCACCTTTCTTAGATATAAAATCACAAAGCGCTTTGCATAAAATAAAAAAAAACAATAAAGTAAACTAATATCACCACAGCATTACATTCATACAAGAGTACAAGTAGTAAAAAAAGTTGAAGTTATTATATTTGCTTTTTCTTTCTGATAATGGATGTAACAGCACCTTGTGAAATCCTTTTCTGTGAAAGGCTCTACGTAAATAAACTTTTACTTATAAGGGGCAGATATAAGATTTTTTTCTTCACTCTTCACCCTTTTCTTTCAGAAAGTTTCTTTTTTACGTCTTTTCATTGTTGTACTTTGAGTGAAAAAGTTTTTAATGAATTATATTTATATTGCCTAATAATTGTATTATCATTAATACCTCTTTATAATTCATTTATATTAAATATGTAGGTATATAAATAAATGATAATAAGTGCATATTAATATAATATATATTATATT